CCCCGGGACCCCCCCACCCCAACCCGGGACCCCCCCGAGCCCCCCCGAGGCTGGAGGTTGCACATGAACTGCTGTTGGGCGCGAGGGAGCGTGTGAATAGTGAAAATAAACACAGAGTTTGTAACAGCCGCGGCCTCCGCGACCCCCCAAAAACCGGCCCCGGCGGGTGGGAAATGAGGCGGGGGTCTCGGGGGGGTTGTTCCCGCCCTTTCCTGCCCTTATATGGGCATGCGGAAGTGGATTTTCCCGCCCCCGCGCGCGGCGCCACGCCCCCTTCCCGGGGCGTCATTGTTGCCTTATATGGGCATGGAAGGGGGCGGGGCCGGGGATCCCCGGGTAACCTGGGGGGGCACGGGGGGACACAGGGACCCCCAGAACACACGGGGGGGTACAGGGACCCCCAAAACACACGGGGGGGGCCCCCAGGGACCCCCCAAAACACACGGGGGGGTACAGGGACCCCCCAAAACACACGGGGGGGGCACAGGGACCCCCCAAAACACACGGGGGGGCACAGGGACCCCCAGAACACACGGGGGGGGCACAGGGACCCCCAAAACACACGGGGGGGGTACAGGGACCCCCAAAACACACGGGGGGGATACAGGAACCCCCCAAAACACACGGGGGGTGTACAGGGACCCCCAGAACACACGGGGGGGGCACAGGGACCCCCAAAACACACGGGGGGGGCCCACAGGGACCCCCCAGAACACACGGGGGGGGCCCACAGGGACCCCCCAGAACACACGGGGGGGGCCCACAGGGACCCCCCAGAACACACGGGGGGGGCCCACAGGGACCCCCCAGAACACACGGGGGGGGCCCACAGGGACCCCCCAGAACACACGGGGGGGGCCCACAGGGACCCCCCAGAACACACGGGGGGGGCCCACAGGGACCCCCCAGAACACACGGGGGGGGCCCACAGGGACCCCCCAGAACACACGGGGGGGGCCCACAGGGACCCCCCAGAACACACGGGGGGGGCCCACAGGGACCCCCCAGAACACACGGGGGGGGCCCACAGGGACCCCCCAGAACACACGGGGGGGGCCCACAGGGACCCCCCAGAACACACGGGGGGGGCCCACAGGGACCCCCCAGAACACACGGGGGGGGCCCACAGGGACCCCCCAGAACACACGGGGGGGGCCCACAGGGACCCCCCAGAACACACGGGGGGGGCCCACAGGGACCCCCCAGAACACACGGGGGGGGCCCACAGGGACCCCCCAGAACACACGGGGGGGGCCCACAGGGACCCCCAAAACACGGGGGGGCGCAGGAATCCCCCAAAACACGATGCGGGGGTACAGGGACCCCCCAAAACACACGAGGGGGGCGCAGGGACCCCCCAGAATACACGGGGGGGGCACAGGGACCCCCAGAGCACATTGGGGGGGGCACAGGGACCCCTGAAGCCGTGGGGGGTCGCGGGGTATCCCCAATCCACGAGGGTCCCCCCATCTCGTGGTGGGGGGGGGGACACAGGACCCCGCTCAGGAGGGCACGGGACCCCCCCGGCCCATGGCGGGGACCCCCTCAAACCGCGGGGAGGCCACACGGAAACCCCCCCGGTTTGGGAGGGGGTGGGGGTCGCACAGGGAGCCCAAATCATCCCCGGGGGGTGGGGGGTACAGACCCCCCCCCCAAAAAACTCCCCGGGAATTCCGGACCCCCCCGTTTGGGCACGGCCCCATTTCCGTCCCCGGCGCCGCCGAGACGCGCGGAGCCGCCCCGGGG